GGCTGAAATCAGGGCTTTAGAAGCAGAATTAGCAAGTGGGATCTTGATGGTTGCATCCGGCTTCGTGAGCTACCCCGAAAACATATATAATTTGTCCTATTTTGACACCTGGAGGCAAAGATATCCTCATTTTAAGTTTGAGGCTGCACCTGTGGCTGCAGCCGCACCATGAAAACCTCTGTGTGCGGCGACCTCATCAAAAGTTAGTACGGCGGCGACCGCATTTAAAGTCTGTATACACTAAAAGTGCATTCGGCCATAGCGGCACCAACAGTGTGTACAGCCATGGCCACACCAGAATGTGGATGCTCATGGCTGTGTAGAAAATTGTGTGGCCTCAAGGGGGCAAACGTGTGCTGCAAACAAATGTGACATGGCCACAAGTGGGGTTCGCTCATGTAACACATTGGGGGTCAGGGGTCTGCCCTTTCAGACGTGCCACTCACGTGTGGCAATGTCATACACCAATAGTAGATACTGTAGGCATCCCCATGCAGCAGAAATAATTACAAAACTAAAAAATACAAGGATCAAACAGAGGTTACATGCCTAATTTCCCTTTTTGAAATTGATTGCTCCATTTCACTCGTCGAGAGTTCGATGTCTCCCCCTTATCTCTACATCTTTTAATTACTAAAAATCAGGAAGATGATTCACAATGCAAATCCCAAGCCTCGATGGATGGCCCGATAGTTTTCACTTTTGCCCGGAGAGGTTTGTTGTTAGGGTTTCTTGGAAAGCGACGATAGAAACGAACTTGGGTCTTTCCTACACTTTTCAGAGAGAGAGGTTCGAAGTCTTGGGAACTATTACGTGCAACCAACCACTTTCCCTCTTTACAACCCTCTTACAACCCTCTTTTTAAAGAGGTCCCCACTCCCATGATTCTCTCCACATGTAGTTATCCAAATCTAGTTAATTAATTATAATTGCCATTGGGATGGCTCAAATCAACTGTTCTAAGAGTGTATGCTAATATCCTGTTGAGATGTCATGACATTATGGAGTAGTTCATTATTGAAGTTTTTGACTCTCATAACTCTTAACAAGTTTTATTGATGGTTGTAGTTTTCAAATTTTGCAGTTGAGAACCATATTTTAAAAATTAGTTATCCGTCTTGGAATCGCTCAAGATGGATTGGTTTTCAGTGGGGATAGGTTCGGGTCCCCTACAGAATTGGGGATTTGGACCGGTTTTCCAGAACTCATCCAATTTGACATAGAACCAAGCGGTTCTTTCAAATTATCGGTCGTCTTTGACAAATTCCTTTTTTTTCTTCGCTTTACAAACCAAAATATAAAAATTTTCAATTTTGTCTCATTGCGTCGCCAAATTCTCTCAAATTTCTCCCAAATTGTTCCCTCTCTCATTGACCTACAATAGCCCTATAAACATTTTTAGATCAAAACAAATTTTGGGTGATATTGAGAGATCAAAACTCCTCTTTTTTAGGTCAAACCCTAATTCGCCTTTTCTTGAGTTTCTACCTCATCTTGCTGCACTTTCTTCAAAGTTTGTCTCAAAGGCTTCTTTTTCTAGTGTTCCATAGATCTAGAATAACTATTTCATCATTTCATATAACATTTGTACTGATTTGGATTTTCATGCTCGGTTCTGTTTTTCACTAGTTTTTTAATGTTCTTTTCAAATCTATCTTTTTAGCTTGCTTTCTCTTATTTCATATCTATTTTGTGTAAAATTTGTCTCAAAATATGTCTCTCAGCCAATTGAAACTTTGTGTTAAAAATCAGAGGTTTTGGAAAAACTGTGCTCAGATCTATCAAAATAGCCTATGTTCTGAATTTCAAATGATTTGCAATATGTTTAATTACAGAATATATGGAATGCAAGTTTAGTAATAATTGGAGTAGAGATGAGGAAGTAGTTAAGATTGATGGCTTGGAAATACCAAAAAGAACGCACTTTTGATATCTTGGGTCAATAATGCAAGAAAATGAAGAGATTGAGGGAGCTTTCGTATATGGAATTAGAGCTGGGTAGGCAAAGCAGAGATGTGCAATCGGAATTTTATGTGATCAACGCATACCAATGAAGCTGAAGGGCAAGTTCTATAAGATAGTTGTGAGACCATCTTTGCTCCATGGGGAGGAATGTTGGGTGGTCAAAAAACAATAAACCCATAGAATGAGTGTAGATGGATTAGTGACAAGACAAGAAGGGACAGAATTCAAAATGAATACACTCGAGAAAATTTAGGTTTGGCACTAACCAATAGGCGATAAGATGAGAGATAATAGACTTAAGTGGTACGAGTTAGTTCAAGTGGAAGGCTCAAAAAGGGAAAGTGATAGGCCTAGATGGACATGATTGGAGGTAGTGAGAAAAGATATGGGAATTTATGGCCTCATTGAGGGTATGACCCTTAATAGAGCAGAATGGCGGACTAGGATTCATGCAGCTAACATTAGTTGGTTGGGAAATGATGATTTAAACATATTCATATCTATATTTTTAAATAAAGAAAAATAAAATTCCATGATTTTACTGTCATTTTCTTTTTTCTTTTTTTTTTAACTGAAAAAAAAACTTGACAATTTATTTCTCAAAAAAAAACCCTAAAAATTTAGCTTCCTTTTTCTTTTCTTTCGAATTTTTCTTCTACAATTTCATCTTTTTTTAAAAAAAAATTATTTTTTATTTTTTAAAACTTTGTAAGGAAACCGCTTGAACTAGCGAGCCAGATCAAACTGTTACGAGTTGGCTCAGAGTTGGTAGATCATTGGTTTGACCCACTGGTCTGAATTTTAGAGCACTAGTTTGAGAACTCTAGCAAAATTGATGTGACACACAAGGATATCTTCATAGTGGTTTTATTTTTGGTGGGAGCTTGAGTTGTCTATTGCCCCATGTTTGTGTCTCTCTCTCTCACTATATATATATGTATTATTTTTGGTGGGAGCTTGAGTTGTCTATTGCCATGTTTGTGTCTCTCTCTCTCACTATATATATATATACATACATATATATATATATATACATACATATATATATATATGTATATATATATATATATATAGAAAAAGATAAAGTGCGCAGCTAGTGTAGATAAGCTAAATGCGTCAACGGTCCAGATTGAATCTAGGCCGATCTGATGATCACGGATGTCCGGCAGTGTTTGAATTTTAAATTTTTTTCTACAAATCCAAATCACTTGACATTTTAGGCGTGTTCTTCAAAAATAGGCGAATCCACCAAAAAATCTTAAAAAAATATTTTACATAAAAGTATACTAACTACTACGTAGTACGTAGTTAGTTATTAGTTATTATTATTATTTAACGTTTATTTAGTTTACGTTACTTACTTACTTACGTTATACTACGTAC